AAAAAAAAATCATTTTGAAAAATTAACTACTAGTTTCTTTGATATACTAGTTTCACTGAAAGAATATATTACTAGAGAATACTTATTATTTTTGTAACCATATTTCACTTAAAATCTTCCTGAAGAAAAAAAAAAGTCAATTGGTTTTGTTGTAGGTCTGGGCAAGAAGTGATAGAAAGCCTTACAGTCCCGGCAATCACGCTGAGAACAAAGGGCAGGTGTCATTTTTTACTGTGATTGGCCAGAGCTGAAACCAGGACTTTCTCCCCCTTGCAGAAGCTATTGTGGAATTTACAGTAATCACCCTGGCTGACTGCCCATCACACAGCTGAACAGCCCACCAAAAAAATAACATCTGGGGAGAAGGCTACGACATATATTTAAAATTCTCATTGTTTTTATTCTTCAACTTTGAAAGATGCTTTTTTTTAAAAGAGAAAAGAAAAACTCACCCAGCTGTTGCCACTATTCATATTCCAATAGCCTCCAGACTGTTGGAGGCCACCTGGCTGACTTCTGCGTTGGAGTCGGTCCAGGAAAGCATTATTTACCCTTTAAAACAATGAAAAATGTGTGTAAGTAGAAAGCTTGCTGCAGGCTAAGAGATTTGGGGGAATGTAGTGTGCTGTATGAACTGACTGTGGGGATTGCGTCCCCCCTTCAGCTTAGAAGAAATCTGCAGAAACTTCTTTTCACATTAACCATATGACATGCTATGAATAGCTGTTTACTGGAGCTGGTGCCAGTCTCGGCTTGGTCAAAAGGGGTGCAAATGCTTCAGAGTTTCATGCACACATATACAAGACCCTTAGTTGTCTGAGCAACCAAACCCCTCAGATAGAAAGAACCCTACGGGCTAAGGATGAAGCTTTAGCAAGAACCAAAACACGAGGGACCACCAGAAATGGTTCTGTGGCAGCTTCCATATATCCTGCACCTCATCATCAGTCTTGCTAAAGTAAACCCCAGAAGGGGGAAGAAGTGGTTGCTTGCTTTATAATTAGCCACGCTACATATATGCTTTATGGACTTTTCTGTGTAAATATTATGGTAGCAAGATCATGCTTTGAGTTTCAGTTGCCCACAGATGGCTGAGTCAGGGACCCTGTGATGTCTACTCATTATCTAGGAACAGTGAAAGTAAGACCGTAGCTTCTTGGAGGCAGAAACGCAGTGCCTGGTGCATAGCACCCATGCAAAACACATTTGTGGAAGGCAGGCAGGCAGCAGCCAGTTACCTTAGCCCCCATCTCAGCCATGAAGATTGTCAGAGCACAGTAATAGTGAGTGGCCGCAAGTCAGTGACTGCAGATTTGGGAACACTGAGGAAAACAAGAGCCGGAGGTTGTTTGGTCTGTACTTGCTCAGTTGCTGTTTCTCAACAATGTCAGGTCCCATCAAGCCATGGTTACGCCTCAGCTACTATAAAAACTTCTTCCCTCTTCACTGTAAAATCTACCCAAGTACCATATTCTGAGCAGCCTGGTCCCCCTCCGACCTCAATGTTTAAGTCATCTTTTGTAAACCTCTCTGCAGGCAGATGGAGCTGTAGCTTACTAAGCTGGAGACCGGGCCATTAAGGAAGAGGAAACCGACCCTGGATCTGCCCCTACCTTCTCTCCCTGGACTTTCCAAAAGTATTCTGGACGGACTGCCCACACTCCTGGGGCTCTTCTCATCTGGTCTACCAGTAACAAGGATGGTAGCCTCCCCACCCTACCCCAGATGCAAACCACTAGAAGCCTACTTGCTCTACCTCTTAAACACATCTTGAATTTACTCAGTCCTTTCCATGGGAGCCATTCTAGTGCAAATTATTATCACTTTTTCACTCCCACTTGCTATAATCCATTCTCCACAAAACCACTTTACCAAATTATCAACAAGATCATGCCCACCTTCCTGTGACTTCCCATTTGTTTTAAAACAAAATCACTGGCTTACAAAATCACGTACTGTCTTGCTCCTGCCTATCTTTCCCTCATTGTTGCATATTATTTTTCCACGCTCACTATAATCCAGTTTTCTGGGATTCAAGTTCAAGCTCATTCCCACCTGAGAATCTTTGACCTTACTCCTGCTCCTGACAACAGGGAGCATCTAAACACTTGCATTCGTTCCCAGTCTCTACGTGGCTGGCTCTTCCAAGTTCTCTGATGTTGCCTCTTTGGGGGAACCTTCCTTAGTGACCTGTCTCCCTTGATGGTTCCGCTAATCGCCACCCTGTGAGAGGCTCTTCACAGTACCTATCACCATCTGGAATAATCTTGCTTTTTAATTGTTGACTTGCACTTCTCTCCTCTAGATTGTAATTTCCACATGGTCAGGGATTCCTATCACATGGTCTATCCCTATTCCCAGGGCCTAGAACAAAACCTTTGCAGAGCAAGCCTTGATAATGTAATTACTGAATGAATGAATGTTCCTGGAGTGTGGTCCCCATCCCGCCTGCTGTGACAGCAGCTGCACAGTGAAAACCTGAGAACTTCATCAGTGGTGACTGCAGCCTGCAAGGCAGCTTACTGTTAATTGATTTCATTCATTCAAACACTTTGAAGACTGATGGCTTATCTTGAAGATGAAATGCGATGCGATTCACCTCTGAGCATCAGTCACAAGGAGGACAGCAGAGTGGTCAAACTCCCCTGGGAACTTTAGGAGTGTCCTCAGCTGACCTATATCCACTGTATACAAATCAGCCAGAGATAGTGAGTGGGGAAAAGATTTCCTGCCTTGATTCCTATCACAAATTCAAACTTGGGGTGCGGGAGGGTAGGGGAAAGTGCCAGTTTATATTTTTGTTTGCTAGCTGTAGAAAGTACTTAACATTTTATTGCTACCAAACGTGACTTCTAGGTTTTCTTCTGAGGGTTGATGTGGATAAATCCTTTTATTTAGGGATGGTTCACGTTTGAATAAATCAATTCAGTTCATTCCAGTTTCACCTCATGGCCCAGATCCTTTCAAGTCCTTGACCTCAATGCTCTGCCTTTTCTCTCTGGAGTTTCTACTTGTCTTTTCTTACTCAAATAGTTATAGTGGGTCAGGTTCTGGTGCACTCAAGTTCATTATGGGGTTCATTAAAAAGCTTGTGAGGAATCCCACAAGCTTTCTATTACAACACTTGGGGATTGAGTTTTCTGCTATGTGGACTTCTAAATAGCAGAAAGCACATTGCCTTTTTGACTCTAATAAAATTAAGTCCCTGGATGTGCTCACTTTGGCAGCACATACACTAACGTTATATCCCTGGAGAAAATATAACTCAGGTCTTTTACACCCCTATTATATACATAAGCTTGTGTTGTTGCCTTGAATAAAAATGGAGTATTTTATTCATTAAGAGGTTATTGAATGAGTATTTTCACATGATAACCTGGGAAATCTCATTGTCAAGTTTAAGGACAATATAATTGTAAGTGCTTTCAAAGTTGACTAAAAACATCAAATGTACATTTAAAGACTTGATCAGTTATTTCAAAACTGATTACTAAGTTTATTATCCAGAGAAAGTTCCTTTTAGATTAATTTGGATCTATATTTAACTGGAATCAATAAAGAAAAAAAAAACAGGTAATAAATAGCCCCGACAATATTTAGGTGGCTAGCAACAGAGAAATAAACAGTCACATACCAGTGGGGAGGGGACATCAGGGACAGTTCATTTTCACATATCCCTGACCCTCCCACCATTGGTTTGCAACTTTAAAGACTGAGGGCTAAGATTACTATAACAAAAAAGCCATCTTTTCTACCTCTAATAAAATAACTTCCTGGGTGCCCACAAAAGATTAATTTCTTTTTTCATTTTAATACAAGCAGGGGGTCCAAGTTGAAATCCATTATATGGACATGCTGTATAATGGTGGAGTCTCAGCTTTTGGTGTATCCACCACCCAAGTCGTGTACATTGTACCCATAGGCCATTTTTCATCTCTTCTCCCCTTCCGTGCTCCCTCCTTTTGAATCTCCCATGTCCATTATACCACGCTGCATGCTCTTCTGTAGAAACAGTTTAGCTCCCACTTATAAGTGAGAACATGCAGCATCTATGTTTCTGTTCCTGAGTTACTTCACTAAGAATAATGGCCTCCAATTCCACCCAAGTTGCTGCAAAAGCCATTATTTCATTCTTTCTTATCACTGAGTAGTACTCCATGGTATATAGAAACCATTTCCTTAAGCCACACATCAGTGATGCCCATCAAAGATTAATTTCCTAGCAATGGGGCCTATTAATGTGATACATCATGCTCTTTAAGATGCTTACAGCCTAACAATTCAATTAGTCCTCAGAAATCCAAAGAAATAAATGGCTACTATTAGCAGTCCCTGTTACATAAATAATAAGATCAAGTTTTTAATTTTATATTTTTTATTTTTAATTATTGTGGGTATACAACAGTTGTATAAATTTGGGGGATTTTTAAAAACAGAAGACCTTTTCAAGAGAAAAATGGCAAAACACAATTTAAAAGGACTCATTTATGACTTACTCTATAATAAATAGTTAGCATCCTTCCCCCCCACCAAACTCAATGAAATTGCCTTACCAATGTAAGAGAGCTTAAAGTTTACAATGAGGTTTCCCAGGTTATAGGAGAGATAAACATATAAATTCACATTTGACATTTTTAAATGATTTTGACTGGGTTATAGAGGCAATATAATTCAGTCCAAAGAATAGGAGCACTCATCCACTGAGTGGCACCATTTGAACTACGAACTTCCATTGAACAATTTTTTAAAATCTCTCCTTTAC